CGAGACGGCCATGCTTTTCGGACCCCCCTCGCCCTTGGCATCGCTCGCACGTGTGCATTTCTGCTCGGCGAGGACCATCGATAGGACCACCCTGGCCCATCGAGCAACACAAAAGAACACGCACGTGACCGACAAATTCACGGGAAACGGACGTCCGAACAACGGCGAGCGCCCGCGGCCGTGCGTTAGTGCTGCTGTCGCCGGCCTGCCCCCGGCCTGGGCGTGCAGTCACGCCCGGGGGCCCGCGCAGCTGGAGCGGGGGAGAGGACCGGGAGGGGGAGGCGGCGGCGAGGGCGAGGGAAGGAGGAGGGGGAGGAGGAGGCGGAGGAGGAGGAGGAGGAGGGAGGAGGAGGAGGAGGAAGGAGGAGGAGGAGGAGGAGGAGGGAGTGGCGGAGGAGGAGGAGGAATAGGAGTGAGGAGGAGTGAGGAGGAGGAGAGGAGAGGAGGAGGAGGAGGAGGAGGGAGGAGGGGAGGTGGAGGGGGAGAGGGAGGGGGAGGGGGAGGGGGAGGGGGAGGAGAGGAGGGGGGAGGAGGAGGAAGGGGGGGGAGGAGGAGGTGAGGAGGAGGGAGGAGGGAGGAGGAAAAGGAGGAGGAGGAGGAGGAGGGAGGAGGAGAGGGAGGAGGAGGAGGGAGGAGGAGGGAGGAGTGAGGAGGGAGGGGGAGGAGGAGGAGGAAGCGAGGAGGAGGAGGAGGATGAGGGAGCGAGGAGGAGGAGGGAGGAGGAGGAGGGGCGCGGCGGCGGCGGCGCGGCAGGCGGCGGCGGCGGCGGAGGAGGACGGAGGAGGAGGAGGAAGGATGAGGAGGAGGAGGAGAAGGAGAAAAGGGGCAGGAGGACGGGGAGGACGAGGAGGAGCAGGAGGAGCAGGAAGAGGAGGAGGAGGGGGAGAAGGAGGAGGAGGAGGAGGAGGAGCAGCAGCAGCAGGAGCAGGAGGAGGAGGAGATTTTGCTCGGGGGAAGGAGGAGGAGGAGAATAATAATAAGAAGAAGAAGGTTGCTCGGGAGGGTGAGGTGGAGGAGGAGGAGGAGGAGGAAGAGTGGCGGGGCGCAGACCGCTGTGCCCCCTGCAAGGCACGAGTGCCGAGCAGGGGGTCCGATGTCCAAGGGGCTCGACAGTCCGCGCGAAGCGCGGCTCGAGCGAAGGAAATGGAGGCCCCTCCCTGCCCTCGCGGCGGCGCGCGCGCCCGCCTCGCAGTGCACAGTCTTGCCGAAATAGGAGACGATGTGCAGCGATGGCGGCGCGGCGGCGGCGGCGGGGGGGAGGGCCCAAAAAACAAAACGAGATTAGTCTGAGCCCGAGCTGGATCCGTCTCCAGTCTCGGGCCTAGGGTCACGGGCCACATCGAGTAGCCGAAGGGCGGTCCGAACATGGGACAGCCTCTGGACCTCGTCCAAGGTCACAAAACGAGTAACTTCGCCCCCCGCACCCTCGGCCCCAGAGCCCAAGGACAAGCGAGAGGAGGAAGGGCCCTCGTCGGGGCAGGAGGCGGCAGGAGAGGGAGCACGATTGTCGTCGCGTCCTTCCTGCACGCAAGAGGCGGGCCTGCCCGCATCCGTGGGGCCAGCGTGGCTATCTTCACGCCTGCACGGCCGAACAGCCGAGGGGGCGGCAAGCTTCGCGCCAGTCTTCGGATGCAGGCCGGCCTCAATCCTCCGAATAGCCATTCGCTGGTTCGCCTTCGTAGAGGCCACGGCAGAGAAACCAACACATCTAGCGGCTAACTTCACAAAATTGCCAAGAGTGCCGTTTCCACCGCATTTGCGGCAGCAAAAATAATCACCATTTTTAAACACATCGTGACCGAGGGCCGAAAATTGAGGGTACCTGTCGGGCCCACTGGGCCCCGAGGGGAGCTCAGGAGTCAGCGGGCCCTTCACCCCCAGATCGTCGGGCCCCTCGGTCTGGCTGCGCAGCTCAGCCTCTCTCTGGGAGGCTTCCATAGCCAGCTGCACGGCCTCGGAACGCATCAG